ATATAAGATAAAAGCAAAGGTAAAGAAGCAAACAAAAATAATAATGAAAACAGCTTGAAAACCTCACTGCTTCTTCAGAGCCCCCCAAGGTCCAGGTCACTGAAGTGACCTCTAGAATTTACTCTATGTGAGAAAGCCCATTTACAATAGCATGAGGCTGAACGTACTTCTAATGCAGTGGTTCTCAAACTTTGCTGTGTATTAAAATCACCTGGGAAACTTTTTAAAATCCCAGTGACTAGGCTGTACCTCGCACCTATTAAAGCAGTCTTTGGGACTAGAACCAGGCATCAGTAATTTTTAAACTCCCCAGTTGATTCCAGTGTACAAGCCAAGTTTGAGAACCAATGGTCTAATAATATGCAGCCAATTCTATACTTATTAAGTGATTAGGACAAGGACTTTAGGTGGTTTATAATTTAAATGTTCTCTGACTATTTTGGGGCTCTGTCAGAAGATAAAGTTGCTTACGTGTGCTGTGGTCTGGGAAGGTTCCTAACGATGGAGATGGGGATAAATATGGAAAACTGAACACACATCTCCTTGTATTACATGCCCTGTGGTTATCATTTCAACCCAAAGGGTGGGACAGCTCCATATCCCCCAGCATTAATGTGGAAAGTAGGACATAGCATGACTGTCTGAAAAGGCAGTTCCCAGTGTTAGCATGCTTTCGTTCTTCTTTTTTTATGATAGCAAAGGAAAAACACTCACTGAGTTCTGCCTTGAGGCTGCATAATCGTAGCGCACATAGAATATTTCAGTTCAAAGCAAGATGGTAGCATTTGAAGGAAATGAGCCTGTGCTGTGTAAAGGGGGCCGACAATGATCCATCCTTGCTGACAGGGAGCGCTACGTGCTTTGTAAACCACAGACAGCTCATACCTGTGAGCAGTAGCTGCCTTTTATGAGTTAAGACGGGGCTCAGAGGATGTAGAAAACCTGCATTTCCTCTCTCACTCTTGATTTTACAGGTGGTAAATGTCACTGGCAACCAGGACATCTGCTATTACAACTTCCTGTGTGCTCACCCCTTGGGTGTCCTGAGGTAAGCCCAGGCCTCTGGTCACCCATGAGGCATTTAGGAAGTCTCTTCTGTTTAGTGTTTGATTTTGTTTTTTTTAAAATCCTAAAAACAATTGTGGAAAGCTACCACAGTAGTTAAGAGCTACGGCTGCTAACCAAAAGGTGGGCGGTTTGAATCCACCAGTTGATCCTTAGAAAACCTATGGGGCAGTTCTACTCTGTCCTCTAGGGTCACTGTGAGTCAGAATTGACTCAATGGCAATGGAGTTTACCTTCATTAAGGGTAGAGAGGAATTAAATCAAGAAGATGAGACCACATATACTTGTCTCATTCTTGTATTAGGGGTTCAGGAAACATTCCTAAGAAAAGCCTGCTGAGAAGGAAACAATGTTTTGAAAATGTCAGTTCCCTAGCTGGGGTGGTGCTTAATTGTGGGCATGAAGTGGCAGTACATTGTCTCATCGAGTCACTAAGCAACCTCATGAGATAGTCATGACTTTTACTACCACTGGGAGCATTGGTGGTTCAGTGGTAGAATTATCTCCTTCTATGTGGGAGACCCAGGTTCAATTCCTGGCCAATGCACCTCATGCACTGCAGCCACCAGCCATATGTCAGTGGACGCTTGCATGTTACTATGATGCAAAACAGATTTCAGTGGAGCTTCCAGACCAATATGGACTAGTAAGAAAGGGCTGGCAATCTACTTCTAAAAATCAGGCACCGAAAACCCTACAAATCACAACGGTCCGCTCCGCAACCCATCATGGGGATGGCACAGGACTAGGCACCATTTAGTTTCATTGTACAAGGGGTCCTAGGAGACAGGATTACCTTTAGACCAATCAGATTCAAGTTGGATCATCCAATCTTGGAGCCGAAGGTTAGGTTAGATTGGAAATTGAAGCAAATGCCCTGAAAGGGTTGCATTTCTGAATTGAAAAGAGGGTGGATGTATGAGTAGGCACGAAGATGCCATTAGGAAGGAGGAAGTGAAGAGCTGATGCTCGTAGGCAGTTAACCATGACCTCCTCACTCAAAGACAAGGATTTTTAAAATAGTCAATTTTATGTTTGTGCTCTGGCTGTTAATCAAAACATCACAGAAATCACTTGTCACTTTTTTTAAATTATAAAACATTTTTAATAAAGAAAAGTACAGATAACAATATTATCCACCACTCAGAATGAATAAATGTCAACAGTTTTAATATTTGCCTTACGCATCATGGGGATGACACAGGACTAGGCACCATTTAGTTTCACTGTGCAAGGGGTCCCCATGACTTGGGGGTCCCCATGACTCGGCGGTCCCCATGAGTCAGGGACTGACTCAAGAATTATTACCCTCATTTTTAGAGGAATACACTAAGGCTTAGAAAGGTAAGGACTTGCTGAAGACCCTTCAGCTGCTACTGCTGTTGGGACTCGATCCCAGGCCTGCTGCCTCTGAGGCCAGGCCCTAGCCCCTAGAGCACAGCCTTGCCTCTGAAACTATTTCCTCTTGCCGTGGGGAAGAGGAGGAGGAAGCCTGGGAGTCAGGAGCCTGGCTGCTCACTCCAGAACCAAACCAGCCTCAGTTTTCTGAAAAAAAACTGTAGGCTGTGGCCAGCTGACACTTCTCCTCAAAGTTCACAGTCATTCAGCTGTGTATTGACACACCATGCAAATTGGGTGCATCTGTAAGAATTCACTCTCACAGTACAGCTGAAATACACGGCCAAACTTCCCATCTTTGGAGCAGCTATCTTTCCCAGGATTCATCCCATGTCAGTACCATGGGGACAAGAGAGGATTAGGGAAATGTACCCAAGAGGGAACAGACACATTATCACGGCAGAAACAGGTTTGGGTTTTTTGTTGGTGTTGTTTTAAGCATCCTAAAATGAAGGAGCTGGACTAAAGAGGATCTCCGATGATGTCCTCGTCCTGAGGTCTTATAAGTTAGTGATGGAAAACGCTGCTGATTCACTCGCTCCCTCACTCTCTGAGCCCCTTTCAATTGCCTTGACTCTCCTGGTTCCTCTGTCATCCCTACAGTGCCTTCAACAACATTCTCAGTAACCTGGGCCATGTGCTTCTGGGCTTCCTCTTCCTGCTGATAGTTTTACGGCGGGACATTCTCCATCGAAGAGCCCTAGAAGCCAAGGACATCTTTGCAATGGTGAGGAGGTCGAGCAAATTGGTGATGGGGAGCTAGGAAGGATTGTAGCTCCAAACAGGATCTGCAAAGGAGTGGGATGTTGGTTTAATGGTGTGATGGCATACTGTGCTATAATGAACAACACAGGTCAAAAGAATGAACTTCCCGATTCTGTAGATATGTCACTGATTAGTATCTTTGTGGTGACCAACCTTTCTCCTTTTTCAGGAGTACGGGATCCCCAAACACTTTGGTCTCTTCTATGCCATGGGCATTGCATTGATGATGGAAGGAGTGCTCAGTGCTTGTTACCATGTCTGCCCTAATTACTCCAACTTCCAGTTCGGTAACTAGAATTTATATCAACTACACAGACTTGAGTCATAGGAGTGTCATACTAGGACCTCCCAAACGTGCCATGCTTCATGGAGCCTCATTTCCACAGGTTGCGCCAATTTCCTCTCTGACCACTTTTTAGACTCGAAAACGCTCAACACTGAATGTTGATCCCACAGCTAGCACTGACAGCTGGCAGTGGGCTAAATGTTAGGCCACAGGTCAGACAGAATGCCCCGACAGACATCTAGAATGTTCCCTCTGTGTAGCTTGGCCTAATCTGGCAGTTAGATTGCTTTGGTACAAAAGTAACAGGAACCCACACTGAATTAAGTAAAAGGTTATTAATCAGCTCACCGTCTGCAAGTCCACAGGTAGAAAGGTCTAGCAGCCGGCTTAATCTGATGGCTCTGACAGTATTTCTCAGTGGTCCCTTTGGTTGTACCTGCCCCGTATGTTGGTTTTATCCTCAGGCTATCTTCCCTTATGGTGACAGAAGTAGCTGTTGCAGGTCCTGCCTTCATATCTTTACCCCAAAATGTCCAGAGAAGGCAAGCTGGCTTCTAGGAGACTTCTTTTAAGAGCAAGGAAACTTCTTTCCCAGAAATTCCCACATAACTTCCCCTAACACCTGTTCATAGCTTGAACAGTCATGAGCCCATTTCTGACTCATTCCTTCATGCTGGTTAGCTCAGGCCTGGGCTGCTATACCAATCATGGTGGCAAAGGAGGTGGGATTACCTTTAGACCAATCAGATTCAAGCTGGATCATCCAACCTTGGAGCCAAAAGTTAGGTTAGATTGGAAATTGAAGCAAATGCCCTGAAAGGGTTGCATTTCTGAATTGAAAAGAGGGTGGATGTATGAGTAGGCACGAAGATGCCATTAGGAAGGAGGAAGTGAAGAGCTGATGCTCGTAGGCAGTTAACCATGACCTCCTCACTCAAAGGTAAGGATTTTTTAAATAGTCAATTTTATGTTTGTGCTCTGGCTGTTAATCAAAACATCACAGAAATCACTTGTCACTTTTTTCAAATTATAAAACATTTTTAATAAAGTACAGAGAACAATATTATCCACCACTCAGAATGAACAAATGTCAACAGTTTTAATATTTGCTTTAAAAAACAAAATTACTGTTGAGCCAATTCCAGTTCATGATGATCCCCTGTGTGTCAGAGTAGAGCTGTGCTCCATAGGGTTTTCAGTGGCTGATTTTTTGGAAGTAGATCACCAGGCCTTTCCTCCGAGTTGCCTCTGGTTGGACTTAAACTTCCAACCTTCTGGTTATCAGCCAAGGGTGTTAACCATTCGCACTACCCAGGGACTCCATGTTTGCCTTAGATCTACTTTTTAAGAAATGATACATTGTGATAAAGTTGAGGTTTATTTTGAACTGCTTCTCAACCTTCTTCCTTTCCTTTCTTCCCCAGAGGCAACAACTGTGATTAATTTGGTATTTATTCTTCCAGTCTGTTTTTAATGCCTTTACTACATATGAGCTACATTATTACTAATTTATCACACTGTGTTGTGCAGCATGCTTTTTTTTTTCAATTCAACAATAGGTTTTCAAGATTTATCAATATTGAATCAAAAACATCTAGCCCATTCTTTTTTTAAGAAAATATTTTGTTATGTTTTGGATGAAAGTTCACCAGCAAATTAGGTTCCCATTTAACAATTTTTGTACAAATAATTCCATGACATTGGTTACAATATTTGCAATGTGTCAGCATTCTCATTATCTCCATTCTGTTTGTTCTGTTTCCATTTATCTATCTTTCTTGCCTCTCCTTGCCATCTCATCTTTGCTTTTGGATAAATGTTGACTCTTTGGTCTCCTATAGTTGATTATTTGAAGGAGCACATTCCTTGCAGTGAAATTGTTTATTTTATAAGCTAATCTATTATTTGACTAAAAGGAGACCTCCGGGAGTGGCTTCAGTTCCAAGTTATAAGGCGATAGTCGCAGGTGGCCCTCTAGTCTCTGTCAGTTCAGTAAATCTGGTCTTTTTTAGGAATTTGAGTTTTGTTCTGCATTTTTCTTCCATTAGATCCGGACCTCCTATGATACCCCTGGTCAGAATGGTCACACCATCTAGTTCTTCTGACCTCACACTAGTAGAGGCCGTGGTTCATGTGGGCTATTAGCCCATTCATTTGTAAGTCATGTTCTGTAATAAAGATAGACCACATTTATCTGCTCCTCTACTGAACAACCTTTAGATGTTGCAATTCTTTTGCTGTTAGCTACAAGGCTGGAAGGAACATCCTTGCATATGTCTCTGTGCACTTGTGAGGGGGGTTTCCTGGGATACCTAGAAGTAGAATTTTGGGATCACCTAATTTGTGTGTCTTTCATTTTGCCAAAAACTTCCAAATTGCTCTCCAGAGAATTAATTCCCACTCCCACTAGCTGTGTGAAAGTTCCCATTTCCCCACATCATCACTAACACTTGTTATTTTTAGACATTTACATTTTTTTCTGAATTTTTAGTAATACGGATGTCTTAGTCACTTCATGCTGCCAAAACAAAAAATCCAACAAGTATAGTGGGTTTAAAGAATAGATACTTATTGTCTCTCCATTCTGGAGGCTAAAGGTCGGGACTTCGGCCCTGCCGATTCCTTCTGTGGGTCTTCCTTCTAGTTTCTGGTGACTACTGGCAATCACTGACGTTTCTTTGCTGCTTATATATGCATCTGTGGCATCTGGGTCCATTCTGTGTGAGTGTCTGCGTCTATTCTGCTCTTTTTATAAGACACCACTCAGAAGGGATTAGGTTTAGGATCCATCCTACTCTGGTATGACCTCATTAACATAACGAAAGAAAGACTGTATTTCCAAACAGAGTCATATTTACAGGTACAGGAGTTAGGACTTCAGCGCAACATTTTGGGGCCTTCAATTGAATCCATAACAATGGGACATTGCATTGTTGTTTTAATTTGTATTTACGTAACTCTGGAGGAGGACATCATGCTTGGTAGAGTAGAGGGTCAGCAAAAAAGAGGAAGGTGCTCAATGAGATGGATTGACACAGTGGCTGCAACAATGGTCTCAAGTATAACAACAATTGTGAGATGGGGCAGGACTGGGCAATGTTTCGTTTTGTTATACATGGGGTCGCTATGAGTTGGAACCAACTCCATGGCTCCTAACACACACACAATAATGCAGTAGCCCTGGTTTGGAGCCCTGGTGGCACAATGATTAAGAGCTAGGGCTGCTAACCAAAAAGTTAGCAGTTCGAATCCACCAGCTACTCCTTGGAAGCCCTACAGGGCAGTTCTAGTCTGTCCTATATGGTCGCTATTAGTCGGAATCGACTCAATAGCAACAGGTTAATGCAGCAGAAAAAAAAAAAGCATTGCCATCAAGTTGATTCCAACTCATAGTGACCTTACAGAACAGAGTAGAACTGCCCCATAAGGTTTCCAAGGAGAGGCTGGTGGATTCGAACTGCCGACCGTTTGGTTAGCAGCCGACCTCTTAACCACTATGCCACCGGGGTTCCAATGCAGTAGAGTCACATTTAATTTCTAACAACATAGAGGTATATATATGAGTAATCAATGTAGTTTTATTTCAGGGTGCTGAGAAGGGCCTTCTACACCCACCTAGGACTTTTTTATTGTCACACAGCCTGAAAATTCACCATTTGGGATTCTTGTTGTTGAACAAGTAGAGATTATCAAGTACTTGATATCATGTTATTGGATACTTTTCTTCTGTGAATCAAGAACAGCCTTGGAGGGGATTAGAAGTGGATAGAGTACAGGGGGTGGGGGGAGTCTAACTAGAGAACATGATTAGGGAGGCTGACATGCGGGCGTCTCTACACAACCTGAGGGCAGCAGATACTCCATGGACTGGAATGAGGGGTTCCTCAGAGGCTGAGGAGAAATCTAGAAAGTGTCATTCCGTGTGAACGCTGACTGCCTGGGCTCCTCCTTGCGCCTGCAGACACCTCCTTCATGTACATGATCGCCGGCCTCTGCATGCTGAAGCTCTACCAGACTCGCCACCCAGACATCAACGCCAGCGCCTACTCTGCCTACGCGTCCTTCGCTGTGGTCATCACGCTCACTGTCCTCGGAGTGGTGCGTCCCTCTCCACCCACCTTCAGCCTGACTTTCAAACGGGCCCTGTTGGGAGGTTTCTGTTGTTTGTTTGTTGGACCTCAAGTGAACCAGTTTGGATTAATCATAACCCTTGGTTTATGACACACTGTCAACATTTCTCCATTTGTGGCACACTTTTATTTAGTTATTTAGCTAATTATTGTTTATAGTGCAATAAACCACACCCGTTGCCGTCGAGTGGATTTCCAACTCATAGCAACCCTATAGGACTGAGTAGAACTGCCCCACAGGGTTTCCAAGGCTGTTTATCTTTACAGAAGTAGACTGCCACATCTTTCTCCCACTGACCAGCTGGTGGGTTCGAACCGCCAACCTTTCAGTTAGCAGCTGAGTGCTTTAACCACTGTGCCACCAGAGCTCTTTTTATAATGTAATAGCCACCTGTAAGACTACCACCCTCCTTTTAACGTAAAGCTAGGACCTGACTCATGTGAAGCTGGGATAGAGATGTACAAACTGACTGGGGAGGCCGGCTTCAAGACGTCAGTGTCTATCTAAATGTGCAGGAGCCACAAACGTTGGTTGTTGGCAGTTATTGGAAGAGCATTGGCCCCAACTTTAGTGTCGGTGAAGCTGCCGCATCAATTTCCTCCCTCTTCCATCTTCATTTGCCAGGAGACCTCAGACGGTACGCTGTAAGCTCATTGTGAGTTCAGAGAAGAACAAAATGTGCACCCAGCTCAGTTTTTGCCTCCTCATGACAGACAGAGGGTTTTAGAGAGTTCTCTGGGAAGAACCCCGAGTGAAGCTAACTGCCGTCTTTGTTCCTAGGTTTTTGGGAAAAATGACGTGTGGTTCTGGCTCATCTTCTCCGCAATCCATATTCTGGCTTCTCTGGCCCTCAGCACCCAGATCTACTACATGGGTCGTTTCAAGATAGGTGAGTCACCCATTATTCTATAATAAACATGCTAACAATTTTCCCCTGAGGAAACAGACATCCTCTTCCCTTTCTCTAAATAAAAACGCTGCTGGTCATCGTGAGCACGTGCATCATGAACATCATGAATTCTGGGCTATGTTTAACAGCTCCCTCTCCCTTACAGTACTGTAATAAGCTATGATCACCAGTTCTATTTTCAGTTGAGAAGCTAAACTTGCTAGACCTCAGAGCTGAGGCAGAGCTCCTAGTCCCAAACACTTTATAACCCACCAGGCTTTGAAAGCACATTTGGAGGATGATATGATCATCCATACCCACTTGTTCCACCTAAAGAGCTATTTTTCAGTTTGCCGCATTTAAAAAGAGCATTTCTCAAGTCATGGTAAATGGTTATCAGGAATGGATTATAGATTATTCCCAAATTCCGGAACTGGAACTTTGGGCGACCAACTTGTCAGTCCCAGAGTCAGGACACCTGCTGAGCTCCCTGTGCCGACCTGAACTTCTCAGCCTTGAGTGTTCTAGAGAAATGAGCTTGTGATCTGCTGTTGGAGGTCACCACACAGAGGAGCAAAGTGTCTTAAAGCACTTAAACGTCACAAATCATTTTAAGGTCCAAGAAGTCAGACTTGCATATTGTTTTATATGTTTCAAAACAAATCATTATATATAAAGTTAGGCCCACTTCTAATATTTGAAAGACCCAGAGCAAGAGTACAAAGAGTCCACATACTATATGTCTAAAAAATTTAAAGTTATAAAGCAGACTGAAAAACCATTAAACAAATAAAACCAACAAAGTGGTAAATATATCTTTGTTACAACCTCAAAAGGACAGTCCAGAACATGGCTGTGCAGGAAAGCCGGTTCCCAGCCCCCACCCTGGCCGAATGCCCCTTCCCACTCCTGACTCTGTCTTGCGTCATAAGCGGTCTCACAGGTATACATACGGACACTCTCGCTCAACATCCAATATCCACCCCCAGCTCCCACAGATAGCCCCTTCTTGGCGATCCTCACAGACAGAAGTGCACACCCTAGTGGTGCTGTCCGCCCATGGGAGGGGAGGCCCGGGAAGGGGTCTACACAGGCCCTGAGAGCAGGCTCGGGCCATCAGGGCTGGGGACTCTGAGGTCCAGGAGCCCAGCATGTGGTCTAGAAAAGAAAGGACACAAGCTCCAGCTGAGTAGTCTCCTGAGCCCTGTGGACTTCTCATTTAATGGTGAATGAGGCATTCTACAATATGGGCCTCTCTTGCCAGGTCTAAGGACATTCTGCATAAACAAAGAGCTTTAAGACTAGAAGATCAAATAAAACAATTTCTTATTTCGAGGTTTAGTTTTCCCTTTTGGCTTAGTCAGTAGATTTACCCTTGACATTAATGTAGCCAGTTCATCTCCATACCCCCCAGTGGAAGCATCATTATCCAGTTGCATAGAACACTTGATAGGGCAATGTGGACATACCCCAACCTCCACTTCTCTTGAAGGTGAGTGAAGTCATACAAACTAAACTTTCCAACAGAAAATGACTTGGAGCATTGTTACTCTGGGTTCCCCTAGAACTGGGGAAGAAAAACTTGAATACAGATACATGTAATTGGTAATGATGACTAATACACAGAGGAGCTTTTAATATATTTATACCACCCTTTCTCCATGCAATTTTGCAATACTAAAGTAGCTTACTTGTTAAGAAAGGAGGAATTTAACGTACTATACTATGGCCATTTTGTCAGGGTTCCAATAGGAAAAATATGTCACACCCAAAGATGTCAGGAGGATTTATTTACAAAGTGGGTGTTTATAAAGGCGCAGCCCAGGGAGAGGGAAAGCAAAGGGTAGTGCAGTAATGCGCCGGTCAGTAGCCCCGAGCTTCCGTCATGTGGAAGCCCGAAAGGACAGGGAGGAAGCCGTTACCAAAACATGGAAGGGAGTCACACTGAAAGGAGCGGCACCAGGGAAATAAATACTCTGAGATCACTGCCCGCCCACCACCGTCCCTCCAGTTCTGCTGGGGCTCTCCACTGTCAAGTCCAAGGGGAAAGAAGGGTAAGGGAACCATCATGTAATCCATACAGGTCAGTCTCCCAGGGCTGGTGCAGGATAGGGCACCATGGGGTTGGGGTGGGGACAAATGGAAGATAGCCAGTGTGCACTTAACTGGTTATTTTCAATTTCTCTACCCAGGGAGTCTTCCCCAGGTGGTTAAACATTTACCATTGTCAAAAGGAAAACTCAGTATTTAATTGCGGCAGTGACTGCATCTAAATTTAGCACCAAGACAGGCATTTGGATTCTTGGAAAGTGGTTCAGGCAATGCCAACCTCTTTACCCATTTCTTGAGCTGCCTTTGCTTTCTCAGCTCACATGCTCCTTTCTCGGTGGCCTTCGGGCTTCACACGAAAGCAAACGCGGACATGCAAAGCAGCAGAGATGAGACAGGACTTAGGACAGAAAATCATGTTGCTTACTGCCCAGATCGTGACCCCATCCCTTCCCTCGCCATCACCAGTTAAAAAACCAATTGCCATTGAATAGATTCTGACTCAGGATGACCCCATGTGTGTCCGAGTAGAACTGTGCTCCGTAGGGTTTTCAATGGCTGATTTTTCAGGAGTAGATCACCAGACCTTTCTTCTGAGGCACCTCCGGGGTGGACTGGAACCGCCAACTTTTTGGTCAGCAGCCAAGTACGTTATCCATTTGCACCACCCAGGGCACCAGAAAAGGACTGCAGGAATTTCTCATGAGAGAAGACAGATAAGTTCCGAGTAGTGACAAAAGTGGGGAGTGAGCAGGACAAGTCTTGATTCACTCTTGAGGAGTAGTAAATAGTTTGCACTCGACTGCTAACCTAAAGGTTTCCAGTTTGAATCCACCCAGTGGTACCATGGAAGAAAGCCCTGGTGATCTGCTTCCATTAAGATTACAGCCAAGAAAACTCTATGGAGCAGTTCTACTCTGTATGTAACACATGGGGTCACCATGAGTCAGAATCACCTCAATGGCAACTAACAATAACAAAGGTCTGAATGTCTTACGACAGCCAGAAAGACTGTGTGTTCTTTTTGGTGAACAAACATTACTTTCATAATGAGAAAACAAAATTAATGTTACCTATTTTAGGAAAAAATAAAATGAGAGGTCAGTCTACCTGTTTGGCTACCTTCTTATAATTTTTTTTTCTCATTTCTCCTCTGCCTCCCACTGACTCAGACGTGTCTGACACAGGTAATGTGCAGCCACCTTCCTAGAGCTTCATATCGCTTGGGTTTTTCGTGTGTTTGTTTTTAGTCACCTGCCTGCTCCATCGATGAACACTCTATTTCCCGGCGGGCAGGCTCAGTGAGAGGGAGGCGAGGATGCATTCCAGCGCAGCCTGCTCTGAGCCTCTTCCGGGCCACATGTGGACAGAGCATCCACATGAACGTCCCTCCATCCTTCCTCCACCAGCCTATTTAGTCTAGTGACCACTGGTTAATGGAACCCAGGGGAAGCCTAGAAGAGGAGTAGCGATCACAACAGAGCTGAGCCCATGCTTGCTGAGATGCTTGTCTGCACGGATCCAGCCTTGCATTTGATGTTTCTAGTCTGGACAGCTCACAGAAAGCCAGCCCACTCTAGACCCTGATCTGTCTAGCACACTCGCTGCTTCTCACGCCATCCTTTTGAAGGATTTGGGATAGCTCTTGCCATACATTTAAAAAGAAATCTTCCCTGTTGTTTTCTTCCCCGTCTTACCTGGCATTCCTTTGATTATCTTTTTAGTACGAGTCTAGACTTTCTGAACGTGCTCAGGAGAACCAGTATCCCTGGGTTCGGTTCTTACTAACGTAACTACACTGAGAAATACAGACTAGCTAAAATTTCCCATCCCCTAGGGAGGTGGGTTTGAGAGAATCAGCAACATCTCTGCTAGAAAAGAAACATCACCAGGGTAAACCCCAAACAAAAGGAAGTTTAGCTGAAGGGGAATGGTGCATGAGGGTTTGCCAGCCACCCCTATTATTTGTGAGCACTCGCGCCTTTTCCACTTGCCTTTCTGCTGTGGGATGATGGATAGGGTACACCCTCTATGACAGACAGCACAGGTGGCTGTGGGCGCCATGTTTTAAAGCAAACATTTATCACTCACCTGTTAGGTGCAAAGCACTACTTTAATGAGGTGACGAAAACAGCATCCCTGCCCCAAAAAGCTTGAGCAGTATTGGAGTATTTTGTACCATCTCTCCCGAAGCCTTCTGACTACGCGATTTGTCATCAGCAGATTTGGGGATTTTCCGGCGGGCCACCATGGTGGTTTACACGGACTGCATCCAGCAGTGTAGCCGGCCTCTGTACATGGTACGTGGATGTGCCTGTGTTCCTTGCCCTTCTCCAAAAGTGGGGCACCGGCAGGAGGGGCAGGCGCGGGGAAGCCACTGCAGACTCCCAAAATCAAGAGAGCCAGATGGTTGAGGGTGGCTGAGGGCCACTCGGTGGGAGAAGAGGCGTGTTGCTGAGTCTTCTTCTCACCCATGAAAGTCAAGCTGGGATTATCCCATTTTATAAATGAAATATTTGTTAGTATGTGAAGAAAAGCAAAAGAATATATAAAAAACCATTAAAAAGTGGTACTTGCTGTGGAGGAGAATCAGGACAGGTGCCCGTAAATAATCGTCCAAACAGGAACGCTTCTGAACGTGAAAGGGTCACTGTTAACAGTTACTCCAGGGCAGCAGGCACCCAGCAGACTGCTGGGCAAACTGGGACGTATGGTCCTTCTGGTCACTTTCATTAGGATCTTTCACTTTGCACGTTATACATTTCTGTATTGTTTAATTTTCATAATGAGCAATACTTTTAAAATTTTGCCGTTATTGCTTGATGGCAGAAATACACTTTAAAAAGTTCTTCCTCATACTTTTGAGCGTATTATACACTTTCTAGACTGAGCAGAGGGCTTAGGGCCTTGGCCCCAGCTCTGTCTTTGTTTGCTAGCCTATGACCTTGGGAAGGCTACTTACCTCCTTTGAGCCCATTGCCCCAACCACTGCACAGTGCTGTGGTAAGAATTCATGGTGCTGTTTGGGCCTGGCACACAGGAGCTCGCCAAGCACCTACTAAAGGTGGTGTGAACGGCCACGCACTCAGCTGCTAATGAAAGTTTGGCCGTTCAAACCCACCCAGCAGCTCTGTGGGAGAAAGATCTGGCAACCTGCTTCCGTAAAGATTACAGCCAAGAAAATCCTATGAGGCGGTTCTACTATGTCACGTGGGGTCACTATGAGTTGAAATCGACTGGACGGCATCTAACAACAACAGTAGTTTATAATCAGAAGCATCTTTACATAAAGGAATGTGGGATTCTTTTAGCCCTCTAGAACTTGGACAGGAGCTGTAAGCATTAAAACTTCAGGGAATTGAGACCGAAGTGTTTTATTCAGGGGAGAATCAACAACCTATTAGGACCTGTGAGTATTTTGAGAGTTAAGCATCTCCTAGCTGTGAAACATGAGTAGCAATTAACGTTTTTTAAGCAAAGGTATTTCCTCCAAGTTGGATGGATTACCCAGAAAGACAGACTGTCTACTTTTAAATGGTAGATGAGCAGCCAGTCAAATTCAGGTATAACCAGACAGTGCCTGAAAGTTTCAAGTGGTACGTAGAGGAGGAGGAGTGAGCTGTGAATCAGTCTCTGTCGGGGATTGTTGTGGTTGTCAGTTGCCATGGATGAGATTCCGACTCCTGGTGATCCATGTGTGCAGAGCAGAACTGCTCTCTTTTGAAAGCAGATCACCAGGCCGGTCTTCTGAGGCACCTCTGGGTGGTTTTGAACTGCCAGCCTTTCGGGTAGTAGTCGAGCGCTTAGCCGTTTGTGCCACCCAGGGACTCCTAATTGTCCTTTACGATGGACCTTTTCTCTCGATTTTCTCTCCTCCCCAGTAACTTTAATGTTAAGACGACATGTAATAGAGACAAATTGCAGGGTCTCGTTGGCGCCCGAAGAGTGGCCCAGAAGCTAACTCCCTACAGCCAGTCCTGAGAGCTGCAACAGAGCCCAGCAGCAGCACATCCCAGGAAAGTAGTCCTTGATTACAGAACTCAGTGGCAGAATTCTTTTAATTACTAAGTAATCGGCACACACACCAACTTCATCACCCCGCAGTGTGGCCCCCATTGCCCGCTCCTCTAAGCATGGGTGACAAAGAGCCAGAGCCCGGCTTTGTGACCATATGGGGATGTGGCCACATCTGTGTGCATCCCAAGGCCTTGCATTCAGTCCATTTCGAGGACTGATGTCCGACTCGGGAACAGCTCTCTTAGAACCACAGACACTTTTCTTTCACCAAGACTATCATTTCCCCAATACTTAATGCTTCTCCTGTGGTGGGTTTAGAAAGCAGTGTGTTCAACATTTGACATTTTCTTTCCTCCTTCCTAGGACAGAATGGTGCTGCTCATCATTGGGAATCTGGTTAACTGGTCCTTGTAAGTTGTCTGAGAAAAACATGTCATTCTCTTTATTAATATCTCCTTATTAACACTGTGGGTTAGCTTCCCTTGGTTGTCATTTTTACAAAGAAATCTGAAATTAAGGAGAAGGTAAGACTATGCTTGTCCTAGAGACAAGAATGACACTTTTCCTCTTGCAGAGAAAATGCTAGGAAGCTTTTATAGACCAATACTGGCCTCTCATAAAGTATTGATCCATTGAGTTCATTTACTCAACAAGACAAAATCAGAACTTGTTGTATCCATGTAGATTGATATGGATGTATTTATAGACACATGAGTGTAGAAATATATGGAGATTGTATCAATGGTTGCAAAAATACAACATGGTTTCAAACTCTTTTGTAGAATTTTCCATAGAAGCTACTCAGTAGGCATTCTTTTCTGTAGGAAGCTCTCTTTCTCGCCGAATGTGTGTAAGCAAGTAGCTCCTATGTTTTCTCTCCATGTTTCTCTCTGTTGCACCTGTATCATTTGTCTTCCTCTTTTTCTCCTTCATCATCTCCTTGTCCTCAAAGGGCCTGAAAATAGAACTGTACAACAGGTGTATATTTTTCCTAGCTTTGATTATTTTATGCAACATATTCTCAACTAAAAATTTGAATAAGTAGTATGTTTTATGGATCACTCAAAAAAAAAAAGTAAGTTCAGCAGGTTTTATTGGTGGCTCTCCACTGATGAGGTCCTCTTGATCAGTGATCAGTGACATTTGACAGAAAAATGGCTCCCTCTTCCTGGCCCCCATGAAGACATACATGCAAAGAAATGAAGAAAGAGGCATGCCTTCAGGGGAAGCCAGAATCAAGTCATGGGGCTTTGAATCTCATATGGGGGCCATATGTTTCTGGAAGAAACTTCCATAATGTTGTCACCCCATAGATTACCTCAGGGTAAGGTCCATAGTTGTAAGCTCCCCCCTCCTTTACTTGGGGGCCAAGTCAAGATGAAGTGATTCTTGAAGAGCGGTGACCACCCTTTTGGGGGCAGATTTCACAGTCCTCGGGGCTCTGTAACACGGGGTGCTGGTGCCAATACTTAAACTCATTGCTGTTGAGTTGATTCCGGCCCATAGCAACACTATAGGACAGAACAGAACTGCCCTGTAGGGTTTCCAAGGCTGTAATCTTTAGGGAAACTGACTGCCACATCTGTCTCCCGAGGAGTGGCTTGTGGGTTCAGACTGGGTCACCATGAGTCAGGGGTCGACTTGATGGTAGCTAACAAGGACAAAATTTAAGAATTAAGAACATTTAAGAGTTAATCTTAAATGCAAACAAAAAGTACAATAATCTCTGAAGGTATTTGTTTATTTACCACAGTGTTCTTTTACAACAGTGAAAAACTGAACAGCAAAGGAAGAACTCTTTCAACCAGAGAGGAAAAAGTTATTGTTTATGTGATACATCCACTTGTGGGAATTTTGCATAGTCATTAGAAATGAACGGTCTGAATACAATGTAATAAATGAAAAGGTACTTATAATATGTTAAAGTGTTTCTTTGTTTTTTGTTTATTTTTTAATGGACAAAAAAGATGAGAGGGCACAAAAAAGCCAGTAAGATGACAAATCTACCTGCATGGCTACAAAACATTTTCTCCCCATGTTCTCAGTGCCCTCTTTGGACTGATATATCAACCCAGGGACTTTGCTTCCTACATGCTGGGCATCTTCATCTGTAACCTGCTGCTCTACCTGGCCTTCTACATCATCATGAAGGTAAGGGTGGGCGCCAGGGGCTGGGCAGTGCCTGGGGCCCTTCACCAGGCGGCAGGCTCAGCTTTGCCAGTGTCCCCTCTCACCCTGCAGCTCCGCAGCTTGGAGAAGGTCCTCCCAATCCCGCTCTTCTGCATCGTGGCCACTGCCGTGGTGTGGTCCGCCGCCCTCTACTTTTTCTTCCAGAATCTCAGCAGCTGGGAGGTAAGAAGACAATTCTCTCCTCCACAAAGGTGTTTTCTCTCCATCTCGCTTTTTGACCTTTCTGCTTCCCTTGCTTAATGTGTTTGTTGCTTTCACCTTTTTTACATTCTCTGAAATGAAAGCTTCCTTTAAAAGGGATGGTTTTTAAGATCCACACATCAATGCTCAATAAATGACACGTCTTCATTGTCAGCGTAGCCCTTCATACATTTTTAACCCCTACCAAAACCAGTTTCCATCAAGTGGATTCCGACTCCTGGCAATCCCACGTGAGTACTCCAAAGGGTTTTCAATGGCTGATTTTTCAGAAGTAGATCCCCAGGTCTTTGGAGCCCTGGTGGCTCAGTGGTTAAGAGCTCGGCTGCTTACCAAAAGGTCAGCAGTTCAAATCCACCAGCCGCTCCTTGGAAACCTGTAGGGTCACTATGAGTTGGAATCAACTCAGCGGTGATGGTTTTTTTTTTTTCAGGTTTCTTCCAAGGTGCCTCTGGGTGGACTCGAACCTCCCACCTTTCAGTTAGCAACTGAGCACATTAACTCCTTTGCACCACCCAGGGACTCTGTAACTCCTACAGACACTGTGAATTTGATCATCATTATGTATTATATTTTCCTCCTGTTCCCAGTGGATGTTTGTGTGTAAAAATCTTGATTCGTGTATCTTCTCCACCATTCTTATCATTATCACACTCCATAAACAAAGGCCCAGTGGCAGATGTTTGTACATTCATTTCACAAATAGGAAAGCTAAGACCTAGGATGTCAGTGAGGGGTCTGAGACTCAGAGCTGGGAGGAGACTCAGCTCCTGACTCACGTTCATGCCTCCCTGGACTCCCCTGGCTCTGTTCAGCTGTCCATCTGTCTTTCTCTTCTTTCTCTCCTTAATCACTCAAAGCCCCAGATGTTCCACTATATTGATCATAAAATCAGAGAAAGCCTTCAAAAAGGTATCTCCCTGGTCTACAACATCCTAGTCATATACTTAGAAGCCAATCTGGAGGCTAGCTTTTCAAAAAAAAATAATAGCTTTATTGAAAGATAATTCACATACCATACAGTTCACCTTTTTAAAATATACAATTAGGTGGTTTTTAGTGTATTCACAGAGTTGTGCAACCAACACCACAATCAATTTTAGAACATTTTCCAACACCCCAAAAAGAAACTCCATACCCATTAAGCAGAAACTCCTCATTTCCCCTCAAGCCCCCACCCCAGCCCTAAGCAACCACTTTCTATCTCTATGGATTTGCCTATTCTGGACATTTCATGTAAATGGAATTAATAGCACATTGTCTTTCGTGTCTGGCTTCTTTCACTTAGCATAATGTTTTCAAGGTTCATCCATGTTGTAGTGTGTATCAGTACTTTGTTTCTTTTTATTGCCAAATAATATTCAATTGTATAGATATACCGTATTTTAGTGATCCACTCATCAGTTGATGGGCATCTGTCTTGTTCCCGCTATTTGGTTATTTTGAATAATGCCGCTGTGAACATTCATGTACAAGGTTTTCTGTGAACGTGTGTTCACAGAAGCTAACTTCCCGAGCTAGGTGTCTAATAGCACGTCTGCAGCTTCCTGGGCTGTCACCCCTCTGAACAGCAGGCTCGTGGGAACTCTTGCCCACGTCCTGCCTCACCTTTCTGCAGGGAAGCCCAGCAGAATCCCGGGAGAAGAACCGCGAGTGTATCCTGCTGGATTTCTTTGATGACCATGACATCTGGCACTTCCTCTCTGCTACTGCCCTGTTTTTCTCATTCTTGGTGAGTTTTTATCTCTTTCTGATAATCTCTTCTCTGTCTACATTCTGTACTCCCTTTTTTTCTCTTCCCCTCGTCCTTACGTCCGCTTTTGTATTCCTCTCTAATTTCCCTTTCCAATAAACCAAACCAGTTGCCTTCTTGTCGGTTCCAATTTGTAATGACCCCACCTGTGTCAGAGTAGCGCTGTGTGTGCTCCATAGGGCTTTCAATAGCTGAATGTTTGGAAGTGGGTCGCCAGGGCTTTCTTTCGGGCACCTCTGGCTTAACTCAAGCTTCCACCCTTCCGGTTAGCAGCCAAGCACTTAACCATGTGCACCACTCAGGAACTCCTCCTTTTCTAATACTTCGTTGTAAGTCAGTGAACATACCACCTTATTTCTTGTTTAAGTTTGAGCTTTTGTTTAGGTCTTTATTTTCATTTTCCTCTTCCTCCAACATAGTAAGACACAGAGTGTTGCGGTGATTTTCCCTAAACCAGACAGCACATTTGGGCTGAATTAGTATTAGAACTCACATTCCCAGAGTTCCTCCAGGGACTGCTTTTGGCGTCACTAAATTCTGGTAACATTGGGTGCTTTGTTGCCATGCTGTGCTCATGTTCCACCCCTTTTGCCGTTCTCACTGATATTTCACAGGTTCCTGGAGGGGCTCATGAGCGCAGCCAGGCCTCTGTCGCCTTCTAGCCAGTCTATTCCAAATCTCTCCTGTAGTCACTCTGTCTTTTGCCCGGACACCTTCCGAGAAGCCACATATTTGTAAAAGTCCTGGATAATAACTTTCAGAATCCTTTTATCCTAATTTTGACGTTTCCATATTAAAAGCCTGTGGTGCCTGCGCAGAGATTCAAGGTGCAGTTAACATTACCAGACCTCCTGGGCTCCCACCCTGTTGGATTTAGCAGTTTCTGGACTGGCCATGTAACCTCAAGAGTGGAGTAGGGCTACCCCCCAGCGGCCAGTTTGGGAAGTTCAACCAAACTGTATAAGCATCATTCCTTACGGTGTTTTTGTGCTAGTCACCTTCATTAGAGACAGACAACAGAAATGGAGCTAAGAGTCCCATGTGGAGAGAACGGTGGTAGAGGGGACTGGAAAGGGGGGAGGAGGAGCAGAAAGTTTCTTATAAAACAATATCCAGTGCAACAAGTCCTCATTTCTTTCAAGTCTTGATCCAAATGTCCCTTTCTAAGTAATGACTTCCCTGGCCACACTATCAAAACTGTTTATTCCCCTCACCCCATACTCCTATATTCCCTCCGGAATTTAACTTTCATCGTTAGCATATGCTACCATCTATTGTTAGCTGCCTTCAAGTCAGATCGTGCTCACGGCACCCTCATGTCTAACAGAGTGAAATGGTGCCCAGTCCTGCGCCATCTTCATGATTGTTGGTATACTTGAGCTCATTTTGTGGCTGTTGCATAACTATCTAACATACTGTATAATTTACGTATTTGTTTCATGCCTGAAGTCCTCTCTCAAATGTAAGCTCCATAAGGGCAGGGATGTTTGTCTTTTTTGTTCCAAACTATATTTCTAGCATGTGTAATAGCACATAATAGGTCTTCAATAAATGTCTGAATTAATTAGTAAATGAACTACCATATTTTACGCAAATAACGTGAACCTTCTACGTTTGTTTGCCAACCACGCCCTCCCCCGAGAGAGATTTTCATAAGCGTGCTATGCTAATTTTTTTACAGCAACATGTAAAACAAAATTGGCATAGCAGCACTTATGAAAATACCTTGAGGGAAGAGTATGCAGATGGCAAACAAACATAGAATACGCTCATTGTTTGCATAAAAATACGGTATGTAATTATAAAAAATGCCTGTTAAGGGCAAGGCATTTGCAGAGGGTTGCAGAAGACATGAAAACGAGTGAGGGAACCAGGGCTTCAACCCAGTTTGCATTTCCACCCCCAGATACACTGAATCAGAATCTACATTTTAACAAGATCCCCAGGTGATTCTTACGTATAATAAATTTTGAGAACCACTGCTCTACTAGTGGTTCTCAGAAACGGTCCGTCAGAAATGGGAACTTGTTAGAAGCGCAAATTCTCAGCAGGCGTTCGAGCCTGAAGAAACCAGTTCAAAGCCCTGGAAGGAACTTGTAGTCTTCAGTCTGCGGGAACTTACTGTGACTGTACCCTCCTTTCACTCTCCCCCGTCTCATTTCAGGTTTTGTTAACCCTGGACGACGACCGGGACATGGTTCGGAGAGACCAGATCCCTGTCTTCTGAGCCTCCAGCGTTAAGAGGGGAGAGGGAGCAATCACTCTTGGTGCTGTTTCGTGAAAAATCCAGTGACTGCAGCACAGTAACCCCTGCCCAGTAGTCCGCTCACCCTCTTAGAGTCGAACCTGCTTGCTTTCACACAGAAAGAAGAGGAACTGGGGGGAGACTCCAACCTGCATGAGGCGAGCAGAAGGGAAGCCGGAAGAGCCAAGAAATGCCCCACCCCTTCTGTAAGCAGCGCTCTGAGTTAGAGATGAACAAAAGCTGCACCAAAGTCAACTCACTCCCTTGGGACCCCTCCGCCCTCACCTCGGATTTGCCAGATTTGGCAGAATGATTTTGCACTCTCCCCTCCGGCTGCCTCCGCGCCCAGAAAGGCCCGCCGCTCAGAGTTCCTGCCGAGACACGCTGGCTTGCTCCCTTGGTCCCTGTGCAACAGCTGCTGCTCTAGACATCCCAAAGCAGGAGCCCAGGGAGGGCAGGATTCCTCACAGTGTGGTAGGCGGGAGACTCAAGGCCCCACCCACCTGAGGTAGACGTTCCAGCCTTACCAGCTAGTGGCCTCGGCCTCCTTAGAAGGAGAACTGTATGTTTCACCCAGGTTCCTGACCCCGTTAAAAGGACACAGGATCAGGCTTTGTCCCTCACTCCTCTTAACAGGTCACTGGGGCCAAAGGCTTGGGTGCTCGCCCGTTCTTTAGTATTTCCATCTCACTGCTGTTGTTGACCCCATCACTCAAGTTCTACCTTCTTGGGAAGGCCCTGTTCCTCCACAGACTTCTGGTCACCTCCAAGGTGGAAGGGAAAGTGGGAAAATCACTTCTAGCAGGAGGAGGAACAAGAGCAATGGCCACCAGTACTAAGAGCCTGGTAACATCAGCACCAAGCCAACAGGCCTAACCATAAGGACTTGGGATTCTGGAGCAAAATCAGCAGAGGAAAATGTGCTTACTGAGTCCCCCAATTCACACAGCTCAATTCTGTGCCCACCTCACCCTTGGGGAGGAAATACACGTTCTAACTAAGGGCATTGCACTAGGGCTTCGAGAACTGAGCCCTTGTCTGTCATTTTGTGCACATCAGGGGTCCTAGGGCCTTCTCCCTGAAGTCCTCAGAAGTGACTCTCAGGGTGAATGCATTCAGCTCTTCTCTGGTTGCATAGAGCACAGCTGAGTTAGTGATGTCCTCTCCCCAGTGAGGTGTTGAGAAGCTCAGTGCCCCAGCTTCATCCTCAAGCTGCCTGGCAGCTCTGCCGCTAGGAAGCCCCATCCTTACAAGCTCCCTTGTTGCTTGAATATGACATAATCAGAAAATATACATGCATATGTACACACACAGACAAGTTTTCTTGAGAAATTGAAGTCACCTCTCACTTCTGCTTTCCCTCCTGGATCAGGCACTCTCTTTTTAAAAATTATTGTCTTTCTCTAGAATATTTGCATGATGTTCAAAAACTGAGTCTGGAAGTTTAAAAAGCAAGTTTTTCCTGATTTTAAAAACACAGAGAGGCTTTCAATTAAATATTTTGTGGGGTTTTTTTTTCCTAAAATGCCCTAAATTTGTAATCGGTCTTATGTTATTCTTTATTCCTCAAAATTTGTAGTCCACCACTAAGCCAAATGAAGGTCAACTAGTAAATGGTCGGTTTAACTGAACATCTAAAAAAAAACATTCCAAGCCTGACGTGACCTCATTCTTCGGATAACGCACTAATGGTTCAAAAGGAGCCTTGGTGGCATAGTGGGTAAAGGACTCGGCTGCTAACTGAAAGGTTGGTGATTCAAACTCACCAGCTTCTCTGCGGGAAAAGGAGGTGGCAGTCTACCTCCATAAAGATTTACAGCCTTGGAAATCCTATGGGGCAGTTCTACCCTGTCCTATAGGTCGGAATCAACTCAGCGTCAGTGGGTTGTTTGGTTTTTGGAAGGGTTTCAAATCTAAAAAAAGACCCACTAAGGAAATGTGAGTAACAGAGTCTGCTCAACTAGCCCTGGGGCCAGAAATGAGTAAACCGTGCCATGCATTACCCGTTTGCAGACTTGTTTGGGAATATGTCCCTGGACTGGGGCAGTGGCCCTGTAAAAATGGATAGAATGTGCTACTGTATTCTTAACCGTTTTCTGATCATGTCTGTCTTGTGCTATCAAGTCACACATTGTGGTCCGTTTTGTTCTCCGCAGCAGGACCAAAAACCCCAAACAAGCTTACTCTTATAAATATCAATTCTAAATGTGCTTGCCACTAATTCTTTCTACAGGGCACATAAGGACGTCATACGACTGTATCAGTGGGGTAATAGAAGAACTTGGCGTAGAGGGAAATGACAAGGGTTTGTAGTAGCTTAACTGTGAATTGTCCATGTGTAATCCAATGCCTAAGGAGTCCTGGTGGCCCAAATGGTTAAGCACTCGGCTGCTAACTGGAAGCTTGGTGATTCAAACCCAGCCAGTGGCTCCTTGGGAGAAAGACCTGGCGATCTGCTTCCATAAAGATTACAGCCTAGAAAACCCCAGGGGGCAGTTTTACTTTGTCCTGCGGGGTCACTATGAGTTGAAATCAACTCGACAACACCTAACAAGTACCATGCCTGTGGTTACTTTTGCCTGTGTTCATGGCCTTCTCTCTCTAAAAGCCAAGTTCAGCAGGAGGGAGCTGGAGGGAGACAGCCACAGTGGAGAGGCTCTTGGCAGGGCAAACGCAGTCATGAGAGAGGTTCAGCTGGAGCAGAGCAGGGATGTGGCAGCCAGAGGAGCAAAACCCACATAAAAAATGACCTCTTCACACCTCTGACTAATGCCAGAAAGGCAACCCACCTGTCTACTATGGGTGGTTGAGGGATTAGCTTGGTTTTATTTTAGCAGCAGAAGCCAGTGGAAAACCAGAGTCTATCTGGGGAAGGGACTTTCCATGACTGGAGATCAACTGAGCCAGCTCCTTGGGGAGAAGAGAGTGGCAGCTGTTTCCTTTGTAATTCCAAGAAGCCACCAGAATGTTCTGTGGGGCCACAACATGCCTGGGTTGAGCAATCAAATAATACCCAGATGTTTCTCATTCTGGGAGATCCTCTCAGGTAGACTAATCACTGTCTAAAGCCTAGAGGATACACATTCTTCACAGAAGGAACAGGGAAAGAGTCTAGAGTCAGAGTTAGTCCTTAGCTGCTGTGTGGCCCTTGGCAAGTCACTGAAACTCTCTGATTACCTGAACATGACACTACATGACAATGACAAAGGCAGAGCTGTGTCAAGCACCCAGAGCAGAGGCCGCACAGAGAAGACTCCCAGCCTCTGAGGCTCTTCAGCCCCACAGGGATGCGGGCCAAGAGCAGATTTCTTCTCTGGACAGGAACCTCCTCTAGGGACTCCCCGTTGAATCCAGCTGTTCTGTCTCCTTGTCCTTGGTTCCAGGAGGCCCTGCAGGAGGTTGGGGGGGCCTCTTCACCTTCAGAGGTACTACCCTGAGTTATCACGCCCCCGGCCCCAGCCCCCTCTGCACCCTTTATCGCTGCACTTCACTGCATCTGGCCCTTGATACTTGTATTCCAACTCAGATAAAAAAGAGGCTACCGAGGCCAGGGCCAAGTGGAAAGGCCGGCTATGTGGAATGTCTCACCTCATTACCTCAATCACCTCATTACCACATCACCTCATCACCTCATTACCTCATCACCCCCTTACTACCGCCTCTTCCCCAGCATCTCAAAGGGAAGAACATCTAGACTTTCTCCTCTCTGGTGGCTATTACCACTGAGGTTCAGTGAATTCCTGGTGCAAATGTTTCCTCCTGCCCTTATCACTAAATGTTCCGTGGGGAAAGCCTGGATGTTCCCCCTGCGTGAGGATGAGGTTTCTGCCTGTGGATGACAAAACAGCTCCCAGAAAGAGGGAGCATGGCTGGGTCACTTGGGTTTTAGAATGACCGACCAAAACCAAACTAAACCTGTTGCTGTCGAGTGGATTCTGACTCCTAGCGACCCTACAGGACAGAGTAGAACTGACTAGTAGGGTTTCCAAGGAATACCTGGTGGATTCCAACTGCCAACCTTTTAGTTAGCAGCCGAGCTCTTAACCAGTGCGCCACTAGAGCTCCAAAATGACTGACAGTGACTCTAAAGTCCCCTGATGAAACTAGGACAAGCACTGGGAGTAAAGATACTATTTGCCTGTGCCTGAAACACACCATGATTCTGCCCAGTATAGAGAAGTTTCTTTCTTTTTTTTTTTAAACTGTGTTTGGAAGAGACCAGATATAATATTTGTGTGGCTAGGTTTTTCTTTTTTTATTGTAGTGAAAATATACTCAACTAAACATTTGCCAATTCAACAATTTCTACACGTATGTTTCAGTGACTGATTACATTCTTCATGTTGTACAACCATTCTCGCCATCCTTTTCCAAATTATTCCACCACCATTAACAGAAACTCAGTGCCCCCTAAGCAACGACTCCCCCCTTTCCTCCTCCCTCCTACCCTTGGTAACCACCAATAATCTTGGTTTCCATATGTTTGCTTATTTCATATGAGTGAGGTCATACAGCATTTGTCTTTTTGTGACTGACTTATTTCACTCAGCAAGGTTCATCCATATTGTGGCATGCGTCAGGGCTCCATTTCTCTTTATGACTAAACAGTATTCCATTGTATGGATATACCACATTTTGTTTATCAGTTCACATTTTGATGGACATTTAGGTTTTTTCCACCTTTTGGCTATTGTGAAAAGTGTCAAAATGAACATTGGCATACAGGTTTCTGTTTGCATTCCTCTTTCACTTCTTATGGGTATATACCTAGGATTGGGATTTGTGGCTAAGTTTTACTGTATCCCTAATATTAAGGCACTACTGTCAATAAGGTTAAATGCCTACTAAATCTTAGGCCTTAACACACATAAAATCAAATAAGCTTGGGAAGGGTCATAGAGTCACAATCTTCACCACTGAGTTCCTAAAATGCCATAGTAGTAGAGTTTTGGATGGGTCTCCACTCTGAAAAGATACCCTTCTCTATGAACTCCAAGGGGAAACTTTTCATATTCTACAATTTTCCTAAAGTGTGGTCTTGCTGTTTGAATATAAAGAAAACTAACTGGTTACCATAATCCCTATAGAATTACCCATCTCACCCACTAGCTCACTATCTTGGGGACGTGGAGCTCTGCCCTTTTCTTAAGTGTCTCTAGATTAATAGATTTTGTCATTTTCTCTGAATGTTTCAATTTTAGAAAATGCCTTGGCTGTAATCTGCATCCTTTTTGCTGCCTTGAAATCCTTGTCATCTAAGGCTTATCTGTTTCATTGGAGATGAACAATAGCTGATCATTATGCTTTAACATAGAATAGTCTTTAAGTCATATCACATTTCAGTCAAGTGCAAAATAAAATCTAG